CAGAGTTACGAAGGCGTCACGGGAAATGCAAATTACAATTGCGTTAATTAGACCACTTCGACATCATCGGGGTAGTTATTTTAAGCTAAACCAGATCCAAAAACATGCTAACTATATCTAATTGCAATTTTCGATGACGTCCAGATCTGTCTTTCGAGCATGTGCCATTCCCTGGAGACCGTCCCGACAACCAGATTTCGTGGCACACGCTATGATCGTTTGTCATCCTATGGCAGATTATTGAGAGATGGACAGAGAGAGCAAGAGTGAGAGAGTAAGAAAAAACCAAAAACAAGTGAAAAAAAGAAAAAAATGCAACATGTGTCCGTTTGTATGTTTTGTATAATATTAACGCCCACCATAGTCGTCTGTACACGTGGAGTCCTTGGAAAATACTGCTAAACGACGTACACACTCTGTTTTGTTTTACTATTCCTCTGGACCAGCATACAAAATATAGAAACAAATCCGATGTTTGTCTTTTAAAACGGAATGAAGAATAAAATGTTAACAAACTTGACTTTCTAATATTTAATTAAAGCATCGTTACAACTTTGATAACAATACGATACTAAATGCTAAAAGACTAATTCATTAGGTGCATATAGCATAAAGCCCATATTATGATATAAATATAAGCTTTTATTATAATATAGGAGTAAACTCATTACTTCTAAATACAACAAATTAAAATACAATTAGAAAGACATTTTTTTTTTAACTTTGATAACGAGCTGTTTTAAATATAGTATAATACGTATACTGTATAGCCGTATAGGTAACTGCGTATTTAACAATTGTTGTACTATTTTCAATTTTTAATTAGGTGCATATTATATATTACGAGATAAAACGAAAACACATTTTAGCTTAATAAGCAATAGGTACTCATAGTTCTGATTCAGCCATGTATACTAAAATTAATAATTTTACACCATAAAAATAGTAATTTATGTACCTTATAGAAAAACTGAATGATAAATAAATAATTATTGAATTAAAAATTATTCATACAAATATGTTTGATATGTTATACTGCTATATTGATGCTCTCGCGTTATTTATTTTATGTAAATGACATTGGCGAAAATTGTAAAAATAATATTTGTATACAAATCGAGTTTAAAAGTAAGTGAATACAAACACGTGTTTCCTTTCTGCTTTGTTTGGATATTATACTCAGTGTTTATATGATCATTATGGGTGTTGACGATTGTATTTTGTGTTAAGTCTAAATTATAATAATATGAAGACAGTTAATACTAAGTATCATTTTTATAGATCGCAGTAAAAACAAAATTGTTCAAAACCAATGACAAAAATCTTACAAGTTAAGTAACTGCTCTGCCGCATAGTAGGTTTCGAGTATACGTTGTTATTGAGTAGGTCACTGTAATGGATGGGTTAAATTTGAATTGATTGATAAATCATTATAAACGGTGAAACATGATTCTGAGCGTCGACGGTCTAACTTTTTGTTAACCAAGGTTACCTAACAGTTTTATTATTTTAATAATAGTATTAAAATTATTACAAATATTACATTTTGGCCCTGTTATTCTAAAAAGTACTGAGAGATTTATAATTTTAATCCACCAAAGTACAAACCAAAAACCGCATTAGCTACCAGAGACCACCCTCAAAATTGATGATCGGAGAATTTTTTCTACTAAAAAATTGGACTTCGGTCATATAAATAAAAAATAATGAAATAAACACATTGTTATAAAATGGATATTTTAAATTACATCTAATAAATACATCATTTCAAATGTAACCACTTTCAATTTCTATACACTAATTATTCAACTCCCCGTATTAAACTACTATGAAATTGTGTTTACATAGTTATTACTTATTAGGGTATTGTTAAGCTTAATCTTGTGTAAATGATTAACGAACAATATTTTATACGTTTATATAAACTACTATATAGATAACCCATCTAACCTTTCAAGTATTTCCTAGAAGTATAAACTTATTCATTTTTATTAACCACAGACCACCGTTGATTTTTTATGTTATACTTATTATATTGTGAAAAATATATGACTTTTCAAAAGCTCTATATAGTTATGTATTATCTTTTTTTTTTCAATTGATAAATATGAATAGAATATAAATATTTCATGATACTTAAAAGTTTTCCAAATAATTTAATAGTTGTATTGGAAACAGGGCTATAAGCATTAATTGTACTGTTTAATGTATAGAATTATAAAACACAATTTTAATATGAACACTAAAAATGATTTGTAACTAGCATTGTCATTCTTGAACTATCAGTTTTATTTCATACATATATTATATAAGGACATTATGCAGTTTTCATTCTGGTTATAGGTTATATAGAATTCATTAAAGTATATAAAATAAAGAGTAACAAACGATTTTTTAAATTACATTTTTCAATAAATCAGATTGTGTTGAAATAAAAATAAAAATGATTACTATTTTAATTTAGTATACATTCAAATATTAATTAAGAATTTTTAGTTCATCGTATTTTTCACTTACTGTAGTGAAAATAAAGCCGTATTCTAAGAGTGCTAATTTGACAACTATTTTTATTTTTTTTTTGTACATTTACACGTACGACCTTCACTGGAAACTATTGTTTTTGTATAGATCTTATCATTAAGAAAACTGTCAACTTTTCTACCAAAAATTTATCGTCTACCATGTACCCACGTAATATTTTAAACCTAATTTAACTGAAAAATAATTATAATTATCTGCATAAAACAAATTTATATTATAATTATAATGTAAATTCGTTCTATGATATTAGTATATTACTGTGCTATAAAATAATTTTCTCCCTACTACTCCTCTTCTACCTATCGGTCGCAGACGGTAAAAAAATTGTTGGGCTACCGTTTCTAGTTGCACGACAAGTAGGTACACACGTTTAGGAATGCGACAGTTGACCTTGGTTACTCTGCATGCAGTGACGCCAAGCTGGATAGCTTGGCGCACGTAAGCGAAAATATGATGAACATATTATTATTGTTGACCTATAGAAAGTTCATGAAAAATAATAATGGTATTTTATGTAATTTGAATTGCAACAAAAATAAAAAATAAAACAATTACCTATATATACTTTACAAGTATACCTTTACCTAATCAAGATTCCAAATATTTTAATTGGTTGAGTTTTATCAAATTACTGATAAATACATTGAAGTTCGAAAAGAAAATATTTTTCAGGGATTATCAAAAGTGTTCAGGAAATTACAATTATATTATAAATAAACATTCATCTAAGGAAAATATTAAATTATAGTTTTACAAAACAGTGGATTTAATTTAATTTGTTAAAAATACTAGTAATTATGTTGGATCAAACCAGCAGAATAGTCATTACTCATGAGTAAATATTATTTGAATGATAAATTAATTTAAAAAAATATTTTAGTGTATCACTGCAAGTTTTAGATGTTATTTATTAATATTAAATTATTATATCGTTCATATAAATTCATAATTACGGAGTTACAATTTCAGAACCATATAAAAATATTATTATTCATAATGCATTATACTTAAAAACATCACAGAATATATATAACTTATGGTTTTTACTTTAATTATTAGTATATAATAAATATTGGAGTACAAATATCGTTATAATTATTAGTGTATTATAATATGTTTCAATCAACATTTTATTTGCTATACATTTTAAGTTTATGATTATATAAGCATCAGTTTATTTCTTGTTTTATATTTCCATTAACTACTGCAGTAATGTAGTACTAAAGTGTAGTTGTTGATACATGATATTTATCAAACCTAAAATTCTATTATATTCTATAATATTAGTTTCTAGTCATAATAAATTACGATCGAACATATTAACACGCCTGTTTGTATTGTAGTATAAATATTAATTTCAGGCGTTATTTCTCAATTTTGGTTTTTTGATATTCACCTATGACTTTATTGCCTACAATAACAGTAAAATACGTTACGTATACCGATAAACGAATTAATTTTTGCTTAGGAACCAAATATTGAAACAAGTACATAATTTTTTATGTAATTCAATAATTAATTAACTTTAAATAGTTCAAGCAGTGTTTATTAAATTCTTGTAATATATAGACTATACAATAAAACACTTAAGTTGTAAGAAAGTAAAAATTACATTGTTCTTCATCACATTCACTTTAGAATATAATTGTTTATTCTAGTATTGTTTAGACGTTAGTGAAAATGAATTACGAATTACGATATTACTTATAAATAATATTCGGTGGTTGTATTTTTTAAATATTTGTACGAGTATTTGTAATAATTGAATTTTACTTTTTATAATACTAGGAATATAAGTAGATAATTTGTAATATACATTTTAAATTCAATCATAAAATTATGACTACAAAATACATAAGTTTTTTTTGTGATTATAACATTAAAATAACAATAAATATCACATAATCTCCATTACTCTTCTGTCCTTTGTGGCCTTGACTTAAAATCGTTAGCTGGTAAAAGGATTGACGGTAACCTTGTATTTTTGTTTACATTTTTTAATTCTGATATAGATGCTCTAGCATTATTCTATAATATGTATTTCCTTGTCCCTACTCAGAACCTTCAAATTTCCTATTCCTTTACTATTCCCTTTGTCCCTTTATCTTAAAAACAATCTTTTTTACAGAATGATGAACCTGGCCAACAAAGACCCATCATTCCTCATTTGATTTATTATTATTATAACTATAATATGTGTTGTTAATAATATTACTATTATTATATTCCTTCAATATAATTTTTTTAATATTTTTTTTTATATTACTTTTTATACATTTTTAATCAAATATGTGTACAATTTATTTCGCAAAGGAATATTTTTTTTAAATAAGCACAATTGATGTGGATTAAAAAAAAAAATTTTAGAAAAAATTAAATTAAATAAACAACATTTCAGACAGGAGTCTTGTGTGAAGTGGCCACCCATTGATGGAACTTCATAAAATAAATAAAACTAATTTATGTCCAACAAATTTACCAATATAAATAAACAATAACACATTTAACATGTATTAATAAATCGGTCAAAACATAGTTATTCAAGTCCCTTGAACCGTAGCTCGTAGTAAGTACGTGTAACGGCTGGTCTTTGAATGGGATCTGAACAAGTGCACGAAACGTCACGTACCGCCGACGTTCCGTTACCATAAGACGGAGATGTATTACCCATACCACGCAGGTGCACATATTGAACTAAACCATTAAAAATAAAACATTATTATGGGAAAAAGACTAAAGAGAAAGAAATACGCAATATTATTACCGAGTCGCAAAACAAACACGCTCAGCAGAAGAGTTTCTCTCTCATTGCAATAATTTGACGTATGCAGTTATTGGTAATAGGTACTGTTCAACTACAAGGGTCATAGTTATTATAGCAATAAAACTTCAGAATAGCTGATCATGTTGTCGAGCTGTAATATTACTTTTTTTGACTTCAGAGAAATAATTTTTTTTCCACCACAACTAAATGATTATAATTCCTTTTTACAAAACTTATTTACCAAAATAATTAATTAAAATAAAAACATTTTGAATTTGGGAGATACTAATTAGGGGATTTATTAGGTAGCGATAAGCTTGATCACCAATTAAGTTGCAAAAGGAAATATTAATTACACTATAATAGTCAGTCAGAGTTGTTTTTGCAATTATATGGTAAACCTATATTCTTTTTTCAACAACACAAACATCATCATCTCGTAGTATTGAAGCATGTCTACTTGAAGAATAATATGTTAATCCTCAACAAAATATGAGTAATTTGTTAACAAACAAGTACACGTATCTAGTGCAAAATGTAAGATCGTTAAAATAGTTTACGTTACATATTATAATAAAAGATGAATACAGAAAAATATGTTATAGGTACTTATAGGTACATCAAAACATAACATACACAATTAATTAATAATTTATTTCCCATTTTTGTATTTATAAATAATGAGCATAGTACATATTTAATAACATGTTATACTATACACAAATAAAATATATGAAATAATAATCAAGAAGATAAGTGGGAAGGTCATAAAGGTTAGGTAGCTAAAAAGCAAAAAATAATAATGGGTAGTCAAGCCTACAAACCAAAAAATATATATTATATTATACACTCGGTAAGTTATTAAAATACAAAACTATTACACTAATTGATGTGTAAATAGAACTTTTAAAGTTTAAAATTTTTATCTTTATATTTTAGTAAAAAAATTATTTTTATTCTTAAGTACCTACATTACTTTTTTCGAGTCATAACATACGTTTGTAATTTTACATTCCAAAGCAAATACTTCTCTGAGAATTTAAATCATTTCATATATTATTATTATTTATTTATTTATATATTTGTATGTATAATAATCGAATTTTGAACAACCAGTTAATTGGTTATTATACCTTATAATATACTTAAAATTATTTTAAGTTTAGATGAGGTTCTGAGTGGAGTATCACAAGGGTATCTAAATACTAATACACTGAAGAATAATATGCTTGTTAGGAAAAGAAAACTAAATATGAATTGTGAAGATCTAAACTTATAAAATAAAATAAAAATATTTTATTCCTAATAGTATTTTCAAAAACGCGTACACTGACTTTTCGAGATAACGGGTGTTTACTATTAAATATTCATTATCTGTCCAGTAATCCATCTAAGACACAATTATTATTTTTATTTTACAAGCTTTTTCTTAAAATAAACATGAAGTGTATACCTAAATTAAAATACCCTGGAATATTCGTTGTTTATATTGAAATAAATCCATTCCGTTTTTTGCGTTTAACATAATTATAATTGTTCATATCAAAAGTAAAAATATTTATTATAAGCTCATAGAAACTAAATTATTAAGATTAGGCTATCAGTTTAAATTGAAAGGGAAATGAAGTAGGTACCTTTGTTTGTTTACATTATAATCAGTATAAAAACATAATATTAAACATACTATAATATATTATATGAATATGATAAGTAATTACTAATAACCTTTATCTAATTGTAACATACTATTATACTGATATATACACGCATCTATAATATTACTTTTAAATTTTAAATTTTAATAAAAAAATTGATGGAGTTTGCATAAAAACTAATGTAATACACACAATTTTATCCCACTAAATTTGCAAGTTATTGTTTATATAGATTATATAATATTAAATAGTTCATTAGTTTAAGCATAATACATATTTTACTTATATTTATTAATTTTAAAGTCTGAGTGGAGTGATGAATGTATTGATTTTACAATGTTAATACATTTTACTTTGGTCACTAAAAAGTTAGGCCTTCTTTTCTCAGAATCGTTTTTCATCGTATAAAACTATTTATCATTAAATTTAAATTCAACACATATGTTACACCGTTAATACCTAATACGGTGAACAAATTCAGCTGACTACAATCATATGTAACTTCATGAATCTATAAATTGTAATGAAATCTAAACATTATGCAAATTATTTACTATGTATTAAAATTAAAATTTTGAACATTAATTACCTAATTAATTTGAAAACTATTAACAAAGAATAGAAAAACCTAAAAGCGGTAAAAGTTGTTTATATTCCATAAATGAATATGATTGGAGGAGTAGAATACTAGAATATTGATCTACGTCTTAAAAAATCATGGTATGATAAAAGTATACAGAATTCAAAGATGGAGTTTTGGACAATAATATGATGAACAGACATGATTGATCATCGGGATATGTCAAAAAACTTATCAAAAAGTAAATACAATTTTAAATTAATTCTATTAAAATTAATTTTACATTTATTCTTGATGTGTAAGCCTAACTACCTTCCATCTCCGTAGGTACATGTATACAAATGTAAATAATTAAAAATAAAAATTATATTACATTTTTTTTATCTAACTACCTATATACTAACTATTTATTTTAAATGTTTTAATTATATAGTATTAAAATTATAAATTAAATGAACATTAATAGTATATATCATTTATATCAGTATTATAAGATGGATAATACGTGTTTTTCGTTCATATTCTGGATTTTTTCCACCAAGATAAACTGCAAGATTATTTTTTACTATTCAGATTGAATGTTCTTCGAATGGTTAGCACATACACATTACAGAAACAATCAGTAATTAATTCATTCGTTTTTGAGGTTGGAAAAAAAAATAATAAAAATAAATATCAAATAGTTTTCTTGCAAATATTTTTTAATGCTCTTTATGATGGCTAACATAAAACCAAAGTCTACAATAATGCAGAGCTCTCTATTCGTTTACTTACCTCTAGTGCGTGTAGGTATGTGTAATTAAGACAAAAGATCAAAGATCGTCCCTCTCATTCAACACGTAACACATTAAAGATGACGCCCAAATAGATTTTATGTAATTAAATCGACTGTAAATAGTTCTGATTTTTATTTTATTTTCCTTGTACACAGCACAAAATTATAATTTTCTATCCAATTAAAAAAAACTGATAAGCCGAGATTTTGTACTTATAATAATGACCATCGTGGATCCCAGCAATAGATCCCACACAAACCGCATTCATTATATTACAGTATTACACTCACGTATATTCATGTATATATTTTTAATTGACTTCTTATCTATAGCGGACTAATTTTAATTTAATAATAATAGCAAATATACACACTAGGTACTCCTAAATTTATACTTGAAAATTACGCTGAGCTTTAACGATATTAATTATTGTATCAAGAAAATTCGCAAGATCTATATGTTTCTCATAGGTCAATTATGACTTTTACTCTACAATAGTAACTTGTTAATTTAAAATAAAATTACGTCATTATAGGTACTAAAATGAAACTTTTTGAACTGATAACCAACTACCTAACCTAACCTACAGTGCAAATTGAATAGTTAGTAAAACATACATGTCATATAATAAATTAATACTTAAATAAACATAGAAATATTACCGAATGTTTAAAAAAATATACATAATAAAATAAAATATAGAATTCAAATACAAAATTATTAATGTAAATTTAAAATTAATTTATTATTTGTTTGCATTCAAGAAGTATAAAATAAAATGTATATTAAACACGTTAATACAAAGACCATAATTCAATATTCAAATTGTTAATAGTTATAAATCACAATTTAATTTTAGATGTGTTTAGCAAAATAAATAATATGTGATAAATGAAAACCATTTTATGTATTAACATATATTGCCTCAATAATAAATTGTTGTCTCTTCTCATTATTTTAACATAGTACAATACATTTTTCAATAGTTTGTAAATTTCATAAAAATTAAATACAAAATATCAAAACACATAGGCAATGTTATCAATAGGCACCGGCAACCGTTAACCACCATAGGATAAACACCATGGGTAATAACATTTTTTAAATTTATTTATAAGCTATACACAAGGAGTTAATACGTCAACTTTTATAGATATAAAAAAACCATACCAGTTCAAACCAATATGTGCAACGAGTGGGGTAACCCTTACTATCAAACACATATTGAAAGAATAACAAGTATATGGAAAAACTGCACAGTGTAATATACCTTGCACCTTAGATTTAAGTATAGAATACTGAAACCAGATCCAAAACAACAACCAGAATATTTAAATATTTTTATAAAAACATATATTGTTGGGGTAATTTAAAAAAAATATTTATAAATTAGTTGAATATTTCAAAAACTAATGGAATTTAATTGTTATGATGCCAAAGTTGTATTTTAGACCAATAAAAAAAAAACAATATAAAATTCAATATTGAAATAAATATGATAATAATATTAATAATTCATGAGTGCATTTTTATTAGTACCTACTACAAATATTTTAAATAAATTTTTTACTGATTACATTGAACAAATAATAAGTATTAATATGCATTGATTAAAATACCTACATAAATAACCTTTTTTAAAATTAATTTTAGTACCTAGTTAAATAACCTCAGATATTCGTAATTTTATCATTATTTTTTTTTGAGTAAACATTTATAACAAATTAGTTTAAGCAGCCATGTTGATATAATCATTATTATTTTCAGCATTGTATATAGATTTAGATTTAATTTAAATATATGATGGTAAAGACATTAATATTGAATGAAAAAATTATTTTTTTATTTTTTATTTCTTTAGTGGCAATTTTATTTTTAGTTTAAATTTATATAACTGTCAGCACTCGATTCATTAGTGAAATAACCAACCGTATTCACTCTGTATGAATTTTAAATATAAACATTATACCTGCCACATGTTAAAATTATATTCTACCTTTGAAATGTATACTTTAATATTTTAATACATTTCTTAAATAATGAAAAATTATATACTATCAGTTCTAAAATACTTACAATTTGTTGACTTCGGTATAGTTTTGTACATATTAGTTATATATATATAGTTATTACGAGCTATAAGAATTTATTGTATTTTTGTTTTCCGTGAAGAACAAATAACTTTCTTGTACGAGGGGGAGGAAAGTGGATAAAACTACACTCATGTCCAAAAAATAGGCGTTTAAATGTATTTATAATGTCTTTAAAAAAACTCACAAGTGTAAGAAAAAATGTTTAGGTGAGACTCAAGACCTTTAATTGTTAAGGGTTAGTACGCCTATGTATATACTTTATGTTCAAACAGTTAGGTCCATGATAATATAATCGGTTACAATTTCAAGTATAGTGTTTTGCTATCAATGTTTGGATCACCAGCGCATGACAGCAATAAAAAATTTAATCCAACGATGTAAATATAAGTTTACAGAAAACAAACAAAAAGTCAATAAAAAGCGAGTTTAGAGTAAAAACAAATACTATTCAATTTGTAGAGAACAATATTTTGAAGACAATGTCGTCAGGATTTCGTATTCTTATATAATTCGATATAAAAGATACAACAACTAATAACTAATATATCAAAAAATGCCGAACGGGTTGTCTCGTAAATATTGTTCTCTAAACATTTTATAATAAATATTTTTACTCTAAAACCTCTTTTTAATGCTGTATTGTTTGTTTTAAGTGGAAATGTTTTTACCGCTGAATGTTATGGTATAAGCTAAGTGATGGTGAAATCGTCATTTAGATCTATTGTCTATATCTTGTGTATAATAAATTAATGTGATTATACTATATACTATAGTAGAATATATCAAACTCTGAACTCGTATATTACCACTATGTTTGTTTGTAATATGATAAATATGTGTTATAAATTATAAATGAAAGAAATACATTTTCGAATATGAATACGAACAATACACTATTATATTTTTAAACTTTTTCTCAAATGTCTTTGAAAAAAGGCCATATATGGGGATTTAGTCCCTATAGCCTTCTTTTGTATAGGTCACTGATTGTTTTAAATATAAATATATAATATATTGTATTCATAATTTATATTGTTTGATAACTAAGCCATAGTTAAGAAGCTATAGTTTAAAGATAAATTCTAAATATAATATATACCTATAACATATAAGAACCATATTTCTTAATATTTTTAGTTTTTTTGTAAACAATAAAACATTTTATTTCATGTATCTTAAACCTAATCGCGTGTTACCTACAGTTGAAGTTTTCAATATAATATAAAAAGTTAGTTAGATAAAAAATAAATGTTATGCTAAAAGAATTATTATGATACACAGAACACTTTAATAAGCAGTTAATAAAATAATAATATTAATTATTAAACATACATTTTTTACTGGTCAAGAAAAAATAAAACTTGACTTTTTTAAGCTTGGCCATTCAGTTTGTTAATATATTATTAATTTATAATATATACTTAACAATTAATTATTGTGCTATTTATTTTAAAAACAAATATGATTTGAATATTTAAAATGTACGCCGTGTGCTGTGTTTAAATGTTCACATATTTTTGTAATAACACAATCAGTTATAAAATGTTCAAACAATTAGCTTTAATGGTTAGATTTACCATCCTATGTGCAGCACTGTTATTATAAATGCCACTTTTATTTGTAATCGCGCCCGAACATTTGAACTCTCTTATCTATAATGACGGCCTATGTTCAATGTTCTGACGTCATCATTTTTTTTCATATCTCACTTCACGTGTGTAAATATTATAAATAGGTATACCATATATACATATATGCAACTCAATAAGAAAAGAACACCCATTAATTAGCCTAATATTTTATTATTCACTTATTTTAATCATTTCAAAACCAAAACCTATTAAAACACTGATTGGAATGGAAATTAACGATTTAAAAAATGATTGAATTGTCGAATAATTAAACACAGATACATTGTGCTTGTGACTAAAAATATCATTACATTTAAGTTTTAGCAAATATTAAAAACCCACTGAAATCGCAATAAATATAATATTATTTCAGTCGACATCGTTCTAATGACATACAACTAAGTATTTTCTGTTTATTAAAGGAATTAATTTACTGTTCTATGTATTAGTTAATTTTGCAGTGACTTATAAGCAAAAATAGTAACTATACTTCATAAATATTTACATAATACATAGACCATAGTTACTAGTTAGTAGTTGGTACCATTGTTCTTAAAATTATATTTTTGTTAAATTCATACTAATTTAAAAAATAAACTAAAATAAAATATTGGATCACAAAAAAAAAGATGATTTGCCCTCCAAGTGAACAGTCAATAACGAATTTTGTTTTTATTAATATGTATAATATTTTTTCTTTCCCTCTCTCACTAGAAACGTTCCATGAACTTTGCACCACGTTGGCGATAAGCAAAGCCGTGACTGAACATTACTGCATATACGAGGCTGCTCAGCATATACGAGACTCAAATGAAACGAAAAAACTCTTATCTACGAAGGCCTACGTGAACCTTTGACACGGTTATCTCGGAGCTCGTTAAAAATCCATTGAATTGCTTCATCGTTCGGATAAACAAAACGTCACTCAACGTGAGTATTGAATTATCCAAGAAAAAATTTAAGAATTTAACACACACAAATATATTTAAAAAATAAAAATATTAACTTCGATGAGACTTGCCTTTGTCTTCATTACATGGCAGAACTCTTGACAGAAAAATGACAGGTAGAAGAGAAAAGATGTTGATGTACCCATTTACGCGAAAACTGCAATACACGCGGCAAAACCGAGCGAGCAAAGTGTACTAAAACGACTTTTTGTTCTACAAAATATACGAACCAAATAATACACGCTATTATTTATCTTATCGTTGAGTGCATGTGTGTCGGAGGATAAGACTCTTTTTTATATTAATATTATGGGCGGCTCCGACTGATACGACGAGGCATATGGAACGTCATGATTACACGCTATCAAGTTGGTGATAACGCACCAATTCTAAGGTCTATGGCTAGAACATCGTCACCAAACGGTCAGTCATTTAAGTTTTGCTTGAACCCGGTTAGTGGTCAGTGAACTTGTTGAGGTGGAATCACGAGGAAATTAACAGAAGTCATTAAGGCAGACATTCCCTCTAATGGCCAACCTTGACTTTGAAATCGGTCAACTCGACTAAGTAGGTATTTAAAACTATAGTCAAATACTCTAATGTCTAGTGTTACAAACGAAAATTATCTAACTTAAACTACCCTAAATACAAACCAAGTTTTACGTTTCCGCGAATGTATCATAGTTTATTCAACTAAGTTACAGTAAATTAAGCTCAATAAAAACCTAACGAAAAAAAGACTTCTAGCAAGTAGGTCCATTATTATTTACATTGTTCAGAGACTTAGAATTCGTCTCTATTCCTGGTGATTTTACGTAATAAATTATTATTATATTATTAAGACTAAAATAAAATCATAATATACTTGGTTAATTGTTCAACTAATATCATGAGGCCTCTCATTGGGGCAGAATATAAAAAATAACATAAGACGAATGCAGAATATGAAATAATATTATGTAATAATATAAATAAATTCATGACAACAGGCCACAGTGTGTACCTATAAAACAGTTTTTTGGGATATATTTTTCAAATTACATTTCATTGTTCACTTCATTGACATGTGCATTCAATGTGACAAAATTTATATATTCGAAGAAATTAGCTGATAAAATTTAATAAATTTCTTTACTTTTCAGTCAATAACTTTATTTTATTTCTTGCTATTGGATAATCATATAATTTTTAACAAATATAAAAAACAATAATTATATGATGTTGCTGTCGTATTAAAATATTAACAATATAAATACTTCCTCGTAACGTAAATTTTAAAGACCAAGTAATAACTTAGTTTATTGTTATTTGTGAAATTGTAGATGGTTTTAGACTAATCAATATATATTTTTTTAAATGTATTTATACACCGCACACGTGTGAATTGGAAAATCATTATATTTTGACGATTTAAAACATTAGTTTTACACTGTCGTGTACTCGTGTTCGATGACGAAAACACGGTGAATAATAAAGCGATGAAATAAAAAATTGCCGGTATAGGTAATATGTTCTAATGGTATTACCATTGGTCAATTAGAGGCAAACAGCAATCGGGCCTAAGAGCTGAGAAAATTCCGACATAATATCCGATCACAAGCCATTAGGTATGTGACGTATTTAAAATGAAATAGTAACTAAAAATATAAATATAAGTTCAGTGTCGGTGAAAAATTAATAATAAATAAAATACTTCTAAAATACTACCAAAATAAAAAATATATTAAATCATCCGTCACGCAAGACACGAGTTTGCTAACAATAGCAACAGCCAATAAGATTATAAAGTTATATATTGAAGTAAATATAAAACCACGTCTGTGCACTTACCAAAAGCTCTCAAGTAAGTGGCATTATTGTTGCTGGCCGGCATGTCGTTGTGGTATCGTCCCGCGGTGCAGATAACGCCGGTCGAACAACGCGGGAGGAGATAAGGCAGAAAACGCGTATTAAAAAAACAAATAAATAATAATAATAATAATAATACTCAGTTATCGTTTTTACTATTATCGTACATATTATTACTATTATAATCAAACGTTAGCGGTTTAATGGGTGAAAACTTTCGATAAAAACACGTCACGCTGCGCCCACGGAACGGTCAGTGGTGGTGTGTGCGTAGTGCGAACGTGCAGTGCGTGAATGCCGCTGCGGTGCAGTCGTCGGCGAGCCGAGAGAGTCGGGAGAGCACGAAGTACACCGCGGCCGTACTATGAACGGGAGAGCGGCGCAGAGGAGGAAAACGAAAAATCGGATCGACGCGGCGACAATCAATTGAATAAAAATAATGTATGCTGGTCGTTAAATTTTTTATGAAACGAAATAACAACCCTACATAAATACCGTATACTATAATATAACGAATACGTATGTTAAGATAATTATAGCGGTCGAGGTAATTTTTTTTTGTTTCAAGTGTTGTACTGCGCAGGCGCTGGCCACCGCTGTTGGACGACGACCGCAACCGGTGGTACGCGTCGGTCGGCGTGACAATCGGGCGCGACAAACAGCTATGCGATGTATTATTATTATTATTATTATTATTATTATTATTATTATTGTTATTATTATTATTATTACGGCGTTGATGAGTCGGTCGGTTGCTGGTGGGGGCCGGGGGGCCTGAATGGAATATTGCTCAGGCGGTCGCGTTCGTGCGTGCGTGCGTCCGGGACGTTTGGACGGTGCGGCGCGTGTCGCGTGTCGGACGACGCGCTGTGTAAACAAGTCGCGGCGATTTTGTTATTTTTTTTCTTTAAATTACAACTAGAAAAACATGTACAAACGGCATACGTCTGCGGAGATGTTCACGACAAACTCGCAAGTGAGCGGCTGCGATTATTCGACGGTTTGTTATAATTGCGGTGCGCGGTGCTCGCGCGACGACGACGGCTGCGGTGTTGTGGTTCGAATGGGCAACAGGCGCGCGATCGATCTCGGAAAAGTGAACCGGTTCTGGGACGCGGCGCGCGGCAGCCCCGGCACCGCGACGCGGACACTCGCCCGGCCGCCTATCGCGGCGGACGGAGCGCGTGCAGCCGCCCGGGACTGCCCACTTTTCCGTCACTGGTCCATTCGCGTAAGCGCTCTTCTCCGCCGCAGCCTCCTCCGCCGACGCGCGGGTTCCCGCTTTACCACCCTCCCCACCTCCCCCCTACACGAGGAGTCAGGCAATAATTGTTGTTACGAGAGATACCTTGACGATATACGACAGATGATTAATTTATAGAAGAATATTTGTAAAAAACCTTACGTACAGATCAATACTTTATTGCTGAACGCCGGGACTGGTAGAAGAATTCCGCAATACCACCGTGGGGCCTATATATAAATATTTTAAAATCTCACGTCCCCCTCTAATCGGGGCCAGAGACACCCTTGTAACTGTTGTCTGTTAATGTACAATTATACAGTGTCAACATATAATAATTTCACTGCAGATCAAGTATGCACGTGGTTTTAGGTTTATATAAAGATATATTATAGTAATTATACTATATGATTATAATGCGACGTACATGAATATTACTACATAAGCGACCATATAGTACAAGAATAATGTTTATAAATGTACAATAATTATGTTTATTATACTAGGAAATTAGAACCGCAGACGGCACACAACTCGACATTATAACCTATTAAATATTTAATTTTAATTAGATTTTCCAATGTTATATCTTATATATATATTGATCATATAATATAGTGTATATAAACTCACCCACACACATGCACACACTTACAAACACATACACACATATACATACCCATTATAATATGTAAATTTAATTAATTCCAAGTAACAGTCCTATGTAAAAATGTTCAATCCTTCTAAGAAAACTTTAAGTTTTAAGAATGGTAATATAACCAATATAGCCATATAGGGGATTGATTTACCTTGACATCCGACGCGTAATCAACAGAAACCGGGGTACCCGTTTTGATGGATCGGAAGTGAACAAAATTAGCTTCGTCGGAAACATAAATACCCACATAAAATAAATATCAATTGTAATAATTGTGTATACGCACTCGGGGATGGAGACGTAAAAACGATTGAATCGGAAATCGGACGCGAAGAAATTTGATAACGGGGCAAAAATGACGTGGAGAAAATGTTCAAAAGAACGACCGTTTTCCTAAAACAGAATTAAGGAAAACACCGCAGTTATTCATTCTTGACCCACGAATAATATATCGACGCCCCGATAGCTTCAGCCGAGTAACCACGGTGTGACCCTGACGAGTGACGACTGCGGTTGAATTCCGGCCACATTTTCTGTCGGTTACTCGATTAATAATATTAAGAAATATATTAGAAATACGAATACCTGATTAATTATGATTAACTCAATTAAATATCGACTATTATCGTTTATTCTAGCCACCAGCCGTTTTCTTCGCACCCACAGCGCTGTCTAGACTCAATTAAACTGTTTTAAACTGCTATTAACGCGAGTTGGTATACAATGGTATGCGATATGAAGGGCGATATGACTAGGTACTTGTTTCAATAAAATGTCTCGTATGCATGAATTTGAGAGCCTCACCAGCTTCTTCCCCGGTCCAACTAAATGCGTAGCCCATTTTCCAAGGATAACATGTCGTTAAGAGGACGTCGAATCCGATATGTTGTCTCCGTCTTCCTAACGCACACTATATCAAAATGTACGTCCAGCAGTACCAATTTTGTGTTGTTAGCTCAAAATATATTATAGTGAACTATCATCAAACTATAATGTATGGACATTATCTGTGTTCTCTCGTTGGTTTTTTACAATATTTTTATTTTTAAGTGAATTGTGCACCATTTTAAATATTAATATTTCAAATACTCATAATTCGTTTGAAAATAAAAATAATAATAATGAAAAAAACTAATCAGAGAACACATCATTTTCTTACATTTAAGTTTGATATAATAGGTCAATTCACTCTAAGTCTCTAATATATTTTAACAATACAATATTGGAACTGCTAAGTGTACATTTTAGTATATTAAGCACAAGCAAGATACCTCACGAGGGTATGATGTTCTTTTACATGCTTCAAGGTAGTGGCGTCGAACTCAAATCGCCGATCGCTTCACTTTTTAAATTTAGATGACTGTGACGTCGATTTGGGGTGATGAGGGTGGGTGGTTGGATAAAAATTTTAGATTTCGGCTCCACTGCTTCAAGGTAAGACGCACACAAAGCCTATAGATATGAATTGACAATATTATTCATAAAAATCTAAGACCGTTATTTAGAATATGTCATATAATTTGTGCATGGAATGCGTGTATCTAAACTTTCTGTAAAATAGTTACTTATTAACGAGTAGTATAATATTATATTATGACAAAGATCTACTTCCCGGTTCTCCGAACTTCCCAACAGACAAGTTCGTGTAGGCGCCTGGAAATTACCACCAAAAGATCATATAGCCTGCAATATTTAAATCTCGGATGAGACTTATTCATACCCCCCCCCCCCATCATTATACTACTAGATAAAATCCTGATACCATTGATTGGTATTGAGTATTGGTTTTTAGATTAAAATGAATGGCTAATAAACCCTAATCATTTTCAGTATATGTACTTAAATAGGTCCCTTTAATAATAATAATCTATTAAATAGAATATATGTTACGATGTTCCGTATTAATATTATAATAATTTAATACATAGTACTATGTATAGTAAAATATACTCGACGAATGTTATATAATGGAGGAAAAGTAATTTCTTATATTATTTTTCTGCTTGGTTGCGTTTTTCCCTCCATCTTTCTTTGACTTTTATGTCCCAGACTCTTGGGACCCTCCTATATAACTGTCACTTGCTGATAAAATATATTTTGTACTCTGACTTGTGTAGTCAATACATTTTTGTAAGTAAGTATAATTTATTTTAAATGTTCTTGACAGTTAAATTGTAAAACAGTCATTTGAGAGGATGGTAGGAAAAAAAGTCTCGAGGAAAAAAAGTCCCGGAAAAAAGTATCCGGAAAAAAAGTCTCAAAGAAAAAAAGTCTCGGTGGAAAAAAAGTCTCAGGGAAAAAAGTTATATTTTTATAAAAAAAAAATATGTCATTGAATCGTAGTCGTATTTAAAAAATAACACATAATATCACATAAATGTAATAATATAAATAATAAATATGGATTTTGAAATTGCTGTGATTAAAGCTGCAAAAAATATCTTAGGTGAACATATCCGTGGTTGTTTTTATCATCTCACACAAAGCACCCACCGAAAAATACAAGAACTGGGTCTTGAGAATCGGTATCGCAATGACAACGAGTTCAATCTAATAAAATTCAATAAAATTGAACTCAAAGATTTTTGAAAGCTATAGGTCAAAATATTAAGCTACAGCGATAACAATTTATAATTTATATATCTATAGGATTTTTTATAATTATGTAATTATTTTTTTTCTAACTTTGTGTGATATATATATGTTATTTTTTAAATACGATTCAATGACATGTTTTTTTTTTATAAAAATTTCTGTAAAATGTATTAACTTTTATTCTGTAAAATATGTTCCTGACAAGTCATCTAACATTGTGTGATATACATATTTCAAAATATTAAGCTACAACGATAATAATTTATATTATTTATATTATTATATTTATGTAATATTATGTGTTATTTTTTAAATACGACTACGATTCAATGACATATTTTTTTTTATAAAAATATAACTTTTACTCCCTGAGACTTTTTTTCCACCGAGACTTTTTTTCTTTGAGACTTTTTTTCCGGAGACTTTTTTTCCGGGACTTTTTTTCCGGGACTTTTTTTCCCCGAGACTTTTTTTCCGTTCCCCGTTTGAGAGGTAGGCATTTACCCCTGTCCGATTTTAAAAACAGCCTAATGGACCGGTTGTTGATGAAAAACATAACTATTTTTATAAATTTGAAGAAATTATACTATGTAGGTACCTACTAGAAAATTATATACTGTCACAATAATAACTCATAACTGTAGTT